ATACTTCAGGGGGCCGGGGAGATAGCTCAGTAGAATTAGCACTTGCCTGGCAAGAGCAAGGGCCTGAGTTCAATCCCTGGTTCAAAAAAAAAATCATAGAATAAAAAGAATGGCTATTCACCCTAGAGAAAAATCTGTAAGCCAAAACATATGAGCTGTTGCTCAATTTGAGTAATTAGACAAGTACAGATTAAAATCACAATGTGATACCACTTGGCATCTGTCAGATTGACAGTAAAAGAAATTTAAAAAAAAAAAAACAGTAGTGAGGATGTGGGTAAATGGAAGTTTGTTTCTGTCTAGAAGTGGAAGGGGTGGGACTTCACTGAAGTCTAAGTGTTTGTGCTCCTAAGTGTCAACCATAGAGAACCTCCACACTACAGCACAGGGTATACAGAACACTGTGCTTAAATGTGGTTTTTACCGCCTGCTGCCCATTATTCAGGGAAATGGAGAAATGAACTATTGTTTGTTATACTGTAAAACACTGCACCAGTGAAAATGAATAAATAAAATTTCCATGTTATCAATATAGATAAATATAATTTGAGTGAGAAAATTATGAAAAGACATATGCAGATACCATTGTGTAAACATTTTAAAGTACATATTATTATACATATGTGTATTGTAAAACTATAAAATTGTACATCAGAATGATATATCCTATCCTAGTGTAGGAAATAGACTTGAGGAGGGGAAATGTGGGTGAGTTTAGTACATCTAACTTTTTAGATTTTGTTTATGGGTGTGAGAAAAATTTTGAGACCAAAACATTAATATTTGTTCAATTTGAGTAATGGGTGATTAACTGCCTGTTATGTTGCCTCCCTTCTCTGTGCATTGAAATGTTTTACTACTAAGAAAAATGTGAAATTACAAAATCAGATTATAGCTAACAACTATTGCTCCTGAAATGATTGTATGGCTTATTAAAGCAAACAAGAGATTGTATGCATTTTTATCAACACCTGTACCCAAATCTTAATTAGAAACTTTTTCCAAAGCTCATCTTACTTCCTTATGCATTTCATGGGCTGGAAGCAAAATTAATGAGGGTAACATGATCTAATTTTATTTCATTTTTACCCCAAATGCATAGTAATGGCAACTTCTGCTTTTTAAAACAAAAAAATTCCTGTAACCACCCTTACTCTTAGGTGAAATGAAAACCTTTCCAAAGAGTGTCTCTGAAATAGAAACTTACAAACTTACATCCTCTTTCACACAAAATACAACTGCTGCTTGCATCACAAATACAGTGAAGATTTAATGATGATAATAATGCATGTGAAGCATCTAGCAGAGTAAAGAGCATATAATAAGTACAGTTTTGCTGTGCATCCCATCTTGTTGCATATGAACTCGAAGGAGAGAAATAAGAGGCAAAACAGAAGTTGAGGATAAATCTCAGAACCCCCTTTCCAGTTCTGCCCCCCTTGTTGCCGCCTCCCAGCCAACTCAACAGATCTTCACCTGCAAACCCAAACTGAGCTGAGACACTGCAGCCACTCAGCTGGGCTCCCAGCCTTGCCAGAAGACCTGCATCATCCAGCACGAGAGTAAGCCCTGACTTCTCTCTCAGCTGACTTGTCATGATTCAGACTCTCCAGAGTTTCAAATGCATTCCTTCAATCCAAAATAGTGGCTGATGGTGTGTCTTGGTACCTGGCATAAAAGTCTCCTAGCAGATGTCGTATCTGTTGTGAATATTTTTCCTGCTTTGTGCTTTTATTGTTATTTATGGTTTTTCACAAAGAAAAATCTAAATTTTAAACAAATCTGTGAATTTTTCCCTATTTCAATTGTTTTGTAAACAGAAAATTCTTTCCCATGTACAGATGAATTTAAGTATGTTTCTCAATCTTTTAATGGTCTCGTTATTTATGGTTTTTTGTTTTTTATTTTTGGTTCTGGGAATCGAACTCTCAACCTCATGAATGTCAGGCACCCCTGAGCTATATCCCCAGCCCTGGTCTCATTATTTACATTTGATTTTTTAATCTATTTATACTGTAATTGTTTTGGTGTGATGTGATAAAGCTGTGAGTTGCCTTTTTATTTTCAATAGAAACAGCACTATTTATCAATGTATCCCTGCTTTCCCAATTTTTTTGTGTTCCTGAAAGCTGTAATTATATATTAGTTTTATTTGTATATCAACAGGACTAATCCATTTTACAAGTTTAAAAGAAAACCTTTCATACTAGAAGAGAATAATCTTTTTTTTTTTTGCTGATAGCATCATAGTAATTTAACCCCCTCCAAAACTAGCTCTATAAGACTACTTTCCCAGAATTCACAGGAGTACTCAGCACTGAAGCTTCACCGTGGCAGCCAGGCAGTGCATTTTGCCCTTGTTTGGTTTTGCATCTGTAAAATGTCAGTTATAAACTTGCTCTGAAAGTCTCACAGGGCGAGGATACGTATATCCCTTGATATTTCCTTATGCTGTGCATTTCTAAAGCCAGATTCAAAGGAACTAGAACAATATTTTCTGCTTGCACACACCAGTCAATGCTCAATAAGAAACAAAAGAGTATACGTCATACACAACCTTAAATTTGGTAAGTCAGTAGCACGTTTTTCTAAAAATGGTGAAATAGTCTCAGGATTCAGCTTATAAGGGAAACTTTGATTAGTGAACAGTCCATTATATGATTACAGATTGACTTTTATTACAAATACTTTTTTGCAAATAAATTTGTAGCAAGAAGTAACTAAATATACTTTTACAGAATTTTAAGAATACCATTGTGGAAAGCTTTATAGGAACATTTCTAATATTAAAAATGAGGTAACTTCTACAACTGTATTTATTTTAATGTTCCTTAAACTGAACAATAATAATTGCTAATATAATTTAACCATTAAAACTGTGTGTTTAGGATATAGACATGAAGGGATATAAAATGTTTGCCAGTATTATAAAGTAAGTTTTAATTATTGAGACTATAAAGGAAAATCAAAGTTTTTAATTATTTAAAATAATACAAACAGAGATGCTGGATTTCATTTAGATAATATTTGTTAACACTGTCAGCACAAAGTGATTAAAATAATATTTTTCCTGCAGGTTTAATTTTTCTGCAGATTTCATACTTGTTTTTTAAATATGATTTTGCTTTGACATTTAAAACAAAAACGTTTCTGCATCCACCCTTACTCTTAGGTGAAATGAAAACCTTTCCAAAGAGTGTCTCTGAAATAGAAAGTTACCAACTTGCATACCCTTTTACATTCAACCAGTTGTGTCTGCTTGCTAACCTATGGTTAACTGAACACCAGCTTTATACAAGCTCTAACAGAAATCTTCATGCTCTTTAACATTGATTTCCTGGCCAGTGGCTTACCTAGAGCTCTAAGAAATATCATGATTATTAAAAAAAAACTTCATTCTGTGATAGAAACTTATGAATGGATGTTTGGAATTTGTCAGTCAGTGGTATTCTAGTTCTGCATCTGCCCAAAGAACTGAACAAACATTGACCAAACTTTCAAGACTTGCCTAATGATTCCTTTCTAGACTGCAATTCTATGATGGTTTGTGCAGCCATACCTAGATAGATTGACTAGGAAAAATAGCTAAGCATACCTCATTTTTTTCTTCTAAGTACCTCTCCTCCCTTTATTGCTGTCTCATTTATCCTTCAACCCACTTATTCTTTCATTCAATCTGTCATATACTTATATATTGATTTCCTATGTACCAAATAATACATTAAGCTCTGGGGAGTTAGTGATGGACGGAAGCAAAGATCTCTTTCTCTTAGAACTTATTGTCCATATTTTTTTCCAGTACTGGGAATTGAACTCAGTACCTTAACCCTAAGCTACATCTCCAGCCCTTTTTATTTTTATGTAGAGACAAGGTCTCAAAAAGTCACTGCGTTGCACAGACTGGGCTGAAACTGCAATCTTCTTGCTTGTTTCTTTGTTGTTTTGTTTTGTTGTATGAGAAATTGAATTAGGACCTTGCACTTGCCGGGCAAGCACTGTACCATTGAGCTATATCCCCAGCCCAATCCTCTTACCTTAGCCTCTCAAAGAGCTAGTGTTACAGGTGTGTGCTACCACACTCAACTGCCAATTATTTTCTAACAGCCACAAAAACTTCTTTGCTCCTTTTAATGCTAATCCATAAATTTTTTATTGTTAAGTGAAATATTTTAAATACCTAGTGTATGCAAAATGATATAATTCCCATGTAGCTAGCACCCAAATTTAATAGACATTAACATTTTTCCATGTTTATGCCAAATCTCTCCAGATATTAGTATTAACCTTAGGAAGGGATATATGTTATGTTTATTACCATGCATGTTTTATATTTTTATTGTGCATGTATATATTTGAATCCATAAAGAACACATTTTTATGTGTTTTTCTATTCTACATAAGACAGTTCATATAGTACATTGCCTTTCGCAAATCTGTGTGGTTTTCTTTTTTATTCAACATTATTTGTGAACTTTCCTCATGTTGGTGTGTGGGTATAACTGATTACAGTGAGGTGCTGTGTGGTATTCCATGGCATGAATGAACTGATTTGCTTCTCCATGCTTTTTTTTTTTTTTAATGGAACCAGGTCTTGAACTCAGGCCCTTGCACTTACCAGGAAAGTGCTTATTCTACTGAGCCATCTCCCCGGCCCCTCTCCATGCTTTTGCTGATACATTATTCCCAATTATTTAGTATCATGAACAGTTCACTGAACATCATAACACATTTTCTTGTGTACATACTTGAATAATTCTATAAAATATATACCTTGCAGTGAACTTGTGCATAAAGTATGCACATCTTCAGTTTTACTCTATTAGTGTAACTGAGATGGCTGAATTATTTTTTATTCTCTTTTAAGTAAGGTATAGATTTAAGTCCTCCTTCTTGCTTTTCTATTTGATTTTTACTGACAGTACTTAAATTATTTCTATTTTATCTAAGCAATAAAGATAAGGGTGATCTTATTTTTATTAAAATTTTATTATTTAATCTGTTAATATAGATTTGTGCATAAATGAATATAGTGACAAGTTATACAGGCTTTTAAAAAGACACAACATATATTTTTGGATATTTGAAGTAAGCCCCCAAATTAGTTAATGTATTTTAAATTAATATTAAGTACTTGATTCTGGAAATTACTTTAGTAGTTTGGGACAAACTGATACTTCCTTTAATCATTTTGTTGTTAATTCCATGAATTTCACTTAACTTCCTAATCCATGTTAAGAGTGCTAGTTTAGCAATATATTTTGAGAAGCTTTTACATGCAGGTTTAAAATTCAGTGATAAGTGTAAGCTTTTCTTTGCCTTGAAATTTCTTGCAGTTAAGCAAATGAAATTATCACAAATATGAACAGAACTTTGAGAAGGTCTGTTTTATAAATGCTAAAGCGTTATGCCATAATTTTTTTGATATTCAAGGAATTAAGAGATTAGATTGTGTCATCCCTTTAATGTGTGCCTCAAGTACCTTTGGAGTTAAACTGCAGTTTAGCTGCTGCAGATGTATCATGCAGGGAGTATCCTGGCTTAAATTCTGAAGTGCTTTCACTTCTGCTTGCTTCACCTTGGAATCGTCTAAAGAGAAGTTGACACATTATTTTGCGAATATTACTGGACATCAGAAAATACATGACTGGGTCTAAGCAGCTATTGAAAGATGAAAGAGCCAGCATAATCTCATTGGTTGTGTGAACGATTTCTTTCCAATAACAAGATGATTCATTTAGCTGTGAAGAAATATATATGAATCGAAAGCCATGGTAGGGGACAAAGCATAGAGTAAAAATGAGTAATACAATAAAGGAATTTCGAGCTGTAGTGGCATATTTACCAGAATTAGGAAATTTTGACCTCTTTTTAGAAATTCTCAGTAAATTTTTGCCAATCTTAATATATGAAAGGATTATCAGTAGGAAAATCAGCCAGAACATTGCCACAAGAATGAAGTTAAAAATTGCTTCTCCTTTTGCATTATGCTTATCTCTGTAATGAAAACACATTGTGGAATTATGCCCACCTTTCTTAAGTGTTAAAATAATCATAGTCAAAAATCCAGCAAGAGCAATTGTCCATACTATACAGCAAACATAAATACTTTGTTTGGTTGTTATTGCCCTCCGTTGTTGTATAGACCGATTAATTTTTATGTAACGATCCAAACTGATGAATCCAAGCAAAATAATGCTGATGTACATATTCATATAAAATAGTGTTCCTACAACCTTGCAGAGAATCACACCTAATGTCCACTTATTTTGGTTAATGTGATACATTATTCGGAAAGGAAGACAGAAAATGAGCAGAAGGTCTGCAATGGCTACGTTAAGTAGGTAAATTTGAATGGAATTTCTCTTGCGGTGGATGCCCAGAAATACATAGAGGGCAATTATGTTTCCAACCAGTCCCACGATGAAAATGACAGAGTAGAATATTGTTAACAAAGTAGATAGTAATTGTTCCTCCATGTGACACTTAGTACCATTTGCTGCTCCTGAGAAGTTCTGTGGGGCTTGGTCGCTGTGATTAGTCACAAAATGCATCCTATGGGAGGAGCAAGGCAAGCCCCCTGCTGAAGTAGTTGCCATTGTTACAGTTCGACTTCTGCCTTCAAGTGGTGATCAAAAGAAGGTGCTAAATGACATGTTCCCTCTGTGTAGTTGTTATATCTTCAGAAGTTTCCTATAAAAAATTACAGACATTGAGTCATTTGCTATTTTAAGAACAGCTACTTTAGCTCAAAACATAAATAATAAAAGATTTCTTTCCAGATATTGGGAGAAACTACCTTTTTATACTTTAGGCCATTGAAATAACTATACCATGTGTATAGTAACATCATTAATCTTTTCTGTGGCTGTGGTATGCACTCAGTTTATCTCATTTATTATGTTAAAATGATTAAACTACATAATCATTCTTTATTAGGGAAGCTGCAATGGAAATAGAGATGGAGGCAAAGAGAAATTATTTTTCAAAGATGAGCACTAATTTCTCCAAAGGTAGTTCCAGCCATGAATGAGTTGAGCCCATTGCCAGCCATGCCCAGCTTCAAAGCATCTTCCTGCCTTGCCCCCTCTCCTTGTATGTAGAATTCATTCATTTTGACGCAGGTTGCAACATGGTATGTGCCAGCTAAACTGAGACAGTGTCTCATGCCATAATGAGAATAAGGAGAGGGCCCTGAATTTCTTCCTTGTCAACCTACAACCAAGTAGAGTACTAAGATCATTTGTGCCTACAGGAACATGCAGTCAACATGACAGATGAAGAGAGCCAGCAGCTGCCCTTTGTAGACTGTTACACTGCACAGGAGAACAGAGTAGACAGTCAAAACCAAATCAAGTGGCAGAGGCCAGTTAGCAACTCCTAACCTAGAAACAGGATGATAAAGTAGATAGAAAATAAAATGTGCAATCCAAGATCCTGAAAGCAGCTGAAGTTTATATAGGCACTGGGTTGCTACATTGAAACTGTTGTGAGAACCTTCTAAGAGATAGTTTGTGAACTCTACTTGTTTGTGGAAGCAGAGAATGTCTCAGATGCTACCTGTTCTGGACATTTCCTAGACATCTGTCTGCTGTGAAGAGCTCAGACAAGAGGCCATCATAAAGAGGTGGAACATGTTGGGGAGGATTCCAGAAGGTCCCATAACATTTGTTTCTTACAGTAGCTGCCTTAGTTCTCTTTATAGAAGCCTCTTAGTCTTAGTTACATAAAGATGTTCAGAGCAGGATCTTCAAAGTCAGACCTAATTAACTGTGGTCAAGGGCAAATAACTTCATCTTTTCTAAGCCTCAGTTTTCTCTTTATAAATATGAAAAATGTGTATGAAAAACTTGATCCAACACATTAACAAGTCTCTGTTCAATAAAGATTAGCTATGAGGCTGAGGATGTGGCTCAGTAATAAACATTTGCTTTGCTTGTGCAAGGCCCTGGCTTCTATTTTTTAAAAATGTAAGAAGGAAGAGACAGGAGGGAAGGAAAAGTTAGGTTTTGAAAACATCTTCTGATTAATTGCATTTTAGTAGCTATTTCACACTTAGCTGTGTACTGTTTGGAACACAGTAAACATTTAGCTTCAGCTTCCGAAGACAGAGCTCTCAGTAAACATTTTGTAACAGTTCACATTCAAACCTGGCATGCAATAATATAAAGTGGACCTTATTAACAATAACTTTTCATTTAATGTTATGCAGAGATAAAAATATTGGGAAGTATATAGAATTTCTTAGAACTGCATGTACATTGGTCAAGAAGAAACCATTTTAGTAGAGACAATGTTCTTCCAAAGAAGAACAACTGTCTAGGGAAAAAGAAGAGACCTAGTGTGAGCTGTCTCCAGAGTTTAAAACAGTGGAGGGAGAGGAAGGAAGTGGGGGAGGCAGGCAGACAGGCAGGTAAGCAGACTGAATCTAGTCTGTCCTGTCTCTCAAATGAAGAAAAACAGATGGCACAAAGCTTGTAGAAAGTTATAACCATCTTGGGGGCCTGCCCCTTAGCTCAGTTCTTTAAGTGGCTGCTGCAACAAAGCAGTCAGGCTCAGGTTGCTGTGGTTCGATCCCCACAACTCAAGCCAGGCAAACCTGCCCTGAAGGCATTCAGAGCAAAAAAAAAAAAAAGAGAGAGAAAGAAAAGAAAAAAAGAAAGAAAGTTATAACCATCTTTCTTGTGATCTGACATTCTAAAAGGAAAGGACAGTCTAGGAAGAATGGCAGGCTGAAAAAAAAAACTGACACGGATAAAACAGTCTTGCATTAGCAGGAAAAGGAAAAGACTATGTGTATAGGGCCCTGTGTTATGTGGATGTATCAGGAGCTTTCAGAGGCTCAGGTAGAGACAGCTTGTCCCCTGGTGAAAGGACTTCAGGACACTGTCAGACATAAAGTGATTCTGAGCTCTCAGGTAGCTAAAGAGACTTTAAACCTCATTGTAAGTATCTTTTTATCTTTCATTTAAATTCTAAACCCCATTAAAATTAAGAACCAAGTCTATTTTATTTGCCTCCATGTGCCAAGTACTTAGCATAGTAAGTCTTTTTGAATGAAAGAAAGAATTTAGTAAAAATATATGTAAAGTTCTATACATGAGTATTAAAAGTATAAATACTAGAAAAGCATTAACAGAAATAGAACTACATTTGTTGTGCCAGCAGTGTGGTATACCTGCCACAAAAACTAATCTCATCTCTGATTTAATAGATGCGCAGTATCTTAAATGATTGTTGCTAGTGACCTGGTTCTGCCCCAAACTGATGGGATCTCCCCTATGATGTAGTATCTCCTCATCTTCAGCAGCACACGGAGAAAAAATCATGGACCAAATGGGGAGAACGGGCTCAAATCCCGGAAGCAAGTTGAAGGAAATAGGTACTCGATCCCATGGATTAGAACATTTCACAGGCCATGGAGAAACAGGTTTCACCCTTTCTGCAGAAAGCAGAGCAAGAAGCAGTGATAGAAGCTGCGAAGACTGATGTTACTTCCTTATAAGAAAATACTTTTCCTTATAAGATAGAAAGAAAGAATCTAACTCAGGAGGCAATAAGATCTTGCCGATGGAGACTTGCAAGACTGCCACCAATTTCCAAGTGTATAGAAAAGATTTTCACTGGTGCCCAATCCTCAATGCATGTTAGAATTCCTTGAAGGGCTTTTTCCAGATACCAGTGCCTGGATCCTTCCCAGGATACTCTGGTGTAATTGGTATGGAATGGCTTCAGACAATGGCTTCTTTTAAAAGCGTCTTAGGGGAATCTAAGGTAGAGTCAAAATTGAACCCTTGAGCTCCAATACCAAGCCACTAAATAATATTCAAGTAACAGAACTGAACAAAAAAGGGGATACAGATGAATGTCCATTTTGTATCTGTGTATTCAAAGCGGTTAGGATAGATATATAGTTACATTCTATTAATGAATAGAGGGATTTGTTCTAATGGTGTTTGTAAATAGGATATCATGTCTGCATCTTGTACAGCAATTAACCACTAGGAAGAATGTATGCAATGTGTTAATTATTGAAACTGTCCTACCAATTTGGTTTGAAACCGTCTCATTACTATTTGTTTCTCAATAAAATTATAGATAAAAGAAGAGTTAAAGACATCCTATTGGTGACAGACATACCAATATTTATGGCAATATAATTCATAATTGCTAAGTCTTGGAAGTGGCCCATATGTTCATCACCAGATTGAGTGAATAAAGAAAATACGGTATTTATACGTGGCAGAGCATTCCGCCATAAAGAAATATAAACTCAAGTAATTTGTAAGAATATGGATACGTTTTGAGACCATAGTGGCAAGTGAATTAAATCAGACACCCAAGCTTAAGTAAATAAATAATACTTTTTTAACACTTGCTGTGTACCAGACACTGTATTGAACATATTCATATTATTTCATTTACATAATCTTCACATTCTCTGTGTGAAATCATGAAATATCAACCGGTTATGTTCCTTACCCATGGCCACACTGCTCTTAAATGGCAGTTCCCAAGTTGAGACTCAGCTCTGACTTTGAGAACCGAATCCTTTTCACCAAACCTCTCTCCCTCTTCTCACGTCTGATCACCATTTCCTTAGTAACATTGAGTTTGTTGGTGGGATTTTGGCATGATTCCTTCAATGTTATTCACTATCACAATTTTAAAAGATTATGTCATCTAGAAAATTAATTTATTTCTTTAGAAAATTATTTCTAGGAAATTAGTCTTTTTATTCACTGTGTCCATTATCCTAAATAAATAAACCCCAACTTTACAGAAACACAAATAATTCATTAGAATTTTTGTCAGATCTCCAGAGAATATCTTCTCAAATGTACTT